AAAGTCAGTTACCTTGGCTGGCAAATGCATTCTCCATACTAACACTGCCCTTGCTCTCAAGTGATTTAAATCAGTTCAGGCTTCTGACTTGCATTTAATGTCAGAGAGAGGAAAGTGGAGGAACAACTCAAATGAAGGGGGGTGGAGGTGGGTGTCAGAAACCCCTCCTCATTCTCCTTGGTGCCCCACAGCAGTTAATGGCTGTGCAGAGGGGCATGGCCATTGGCCTGGCTTTGAAGGAGGGTTTTTTTACTCCAACTGTTTTAAGTTACCAAAGCTAGATTTTTGATGATGAATTATTTTTCTTATATGATCAACAGCCTTTTTACCATTTGAGAAATTCTGGGTCACTAACAGGTCGAAGTTCTACTATCAATTTCTAATGTTATCACATTCTTTCTTGCTGTGTTGTATCTGTGCCTACAATGCTTTGCTGGTAACATAATTTTCAGCACTTCTCAAACTCACTAAGTTCCAAATGAGGTAATAAGCAAATAAAAGCTTTTAACAGTATCAGAAAGCTCTGACCATTGAAGTTTATGGAAAGATTTCCCCAGGAGTATTTCACTTTGCTCAGCTGAGCTAACCTAGTTGGTTTTACTTAATAAAGCTAGTGGCACCTCTATCAAGTTTTCCAAAAGTCCTGTGAAATAAACAGATTCATTTGCACTTTTTTTTCCTGGTAATACTTGATACCAGTTGTAGCCTAGATTGCTTTGATGTCCAATAAATCTACAGAGTTAAAAAAAAAAAAGAAACAGACATCCAGAAGGAGAGAAAGCTTTTGAAAGAAACTGGAGGACACAGAGACATGAATGTGTGAGACAGAAGAGGAAATCTGTTTTACATAGAATCTGCTGCTGAGAAGACAAATAATTTACTGCAGCCATGCATAGCTATGAAGTGATTCCAGATGGTGCCATTTGGGCAACAGAGATGGCAGGCACAAGATGTGAGAATCAAGATGGGTATCTTTGAAGATACACTTGAAGTTCACACAGGATTTTAGGAGGAAGGTGAAGTCTTAGATTAGATCCTGAAACAAGAGAATTGTTGGAGCTTAAGGCAGTGCAGTTTATGCAACTTTGCATATATGCAAGTCATAAGAAACACCATTCAGTATATGCCTTTTTATAAAGCTGGATGTCTTAAGTATATAGAGAAAAAACAGCACAGTAGAACACAGCAAGGGAATTCTGAGAGGGAGAAGAAAAATCCAAGAATCACTGAATGTATGGAAATAGCAGCTCCCTAAGAAAACTAGGGGAGAATAAAACAGGAGAAACTATGACAGAATAGCTTCAGTAAATCCAAGATATCTATAAACTAACAACAGAATATAAACATTCCTCAGATTCTTTTCCTATCTGCTATAATAATAATAATAATAATAATAATAATAATTTTTCTTGGATTAAAACCAACCAAACAACAATAAAATAAACCAGAACCTCACCACCACCAAAGAATTAGTACCAACAGTTACTGAGCAGTAAATAAATCAACATTACTAGCAGGAACTTGTAAAAGATTCACACTGGCAATGCAAATATATGTCCTCTACTAAAGGATTACTTGATCAGCAAATAGGGAACAATCCACAGAACTGTCTCCACCAAACACAGTTCTTCTTAACATTGCAAACAAAAAAAGTTAGGCTACTACTTACCTTGATTTGCAGTCCCCTGAAGAGTTTTGGCTTATCACTCCTGACAAAAGCTACAGTTTGGAGAAAAGAAAGAAAATGAAATTCTTCTCTACTTGCGTAAAGTAGATTTATGTCAAATTAGTATTCCCCAATTTTTTTTAAATTATGCTTTAAAAGATATTTTAAGGTTAAAATCTTAGTACCTTCACAAAATTAATAATACTAAACTTACTATGCCAAAGGAACACCTATTTTTGCTAGTAATCCAAACAGGAATTCTGTCTGCTTGGAATTTCCTTGAACACTAGTGCAACTGTGTAAGGCAGGTTATCTGCAGGCACAACTGACAGCCTTCAGCAGACTGGCCCATCTGCTGCTGCACAGCACATGTGAGGAAAGCGTAGGAGCGACCAGAATCTGGCTGAGGATCAGCTCTGGGAGGGAGGGAGTGTGACTCCCATCTCATCAGCACTCCCACTGCAGCTCTGCGGGGCCAGGCACGCAGCAGGCTGTGGGAGAGGTGTTATTCTGGTGAACCAGACGGTCAGTCTTGTCTTGCAGAGACTCTGAGATTATGTATTGAAAACCAGCAAGAAAACCAAGGTAGAAAACAGGAAGAGAAGCTCGGATTTCCTCTTCTCCTGACACTCCTGAAGGCAGTCGGTGTCAAGTGTCAAGGCTCCATGGAGAGGCCTGAGGAGGGCTGCTGCACCCCTCAGCTGCAGCACCTGTCAGCAGGTGTTCACAGCAGCACACCCCTACAGAACAACCCAGGCCTTGCATTAACCTTAACTCTGAAAAGACAGTATGAACTATTTCAGGACAAAGTGTGAGCATAATCCCCTACTTCCTAGCACTTCACCTTAATGAATGTCTGAATTCTAGAAATATTTAAAATTTATTTAGAAAATAACAGTTCTCATTCTTCCTTTTCACATGCTAAAAGCTAAATTTAGTATCTATATTGACATTAAGTGGATTCAGGATGCTCCTGTAGTATGTCAGTAGCATTTCCCCAAGGATGAACCCTGTCAGTACAGACTGACTCCTACAAGGGTGCCAGCTGCATGTTAAAGCTGCTTTTTCAAGGTTAGACAACAATGAATCTCTCACAAATTGCAGTGCATCCAGCTGGTGCATGGAGATGAGTGCAACCTCAGGACTAATGTTTCATACTGCTTGACAAAGTGTAGTGCTTTCCTCAGTAATTGCAGAGATATCCCCTGGCATCTTTGTACTTTATCTTTACATTACTGCAGACAGCTACCTTAACACTCTCTCAGCATGGTTATCCAGACTGGCACTTACTTTTTTCCCTCTTTCACTGAGCTCCCAGTACAGATAAAAAACACATACACTGCTTGCTGCACCAACTACTACACAATATAAACAAGTTAAAAAAATACCAACGGCCCATGGAGCTGCCAGATGTACCAGGCCCCTGAAGAAAATGAGTTGTCTCATTCAAATTGTCTTTATTCCTTCTACAGACTATGCACTGATGCCATTGTAAGCTGTGTATAACAATTTCCAATAGCACAAAATAACCAGTACTTGCTCACATACTGCAGTTCGATTCTGATTTAAACTCAAAGATGTATTTTCAACTTCAGTGTTTCCCATGCCAGTGTGACATGTTGTCTTGGTTGCCATCACAAGTAATGTGCAAAAAAGCAAGCAAAGATATTTCTCATTATTTGTTAAGTCCACAGACTGTTGAAGTGTTTCTGGAGGAATTTTCCACATTTTTCTTCAACTTAAATCTAAAGCTGAAATCAGTCCCTAGGGCTTTTTATGAAAAGAAGGTTGTAAGAAGCAGTCAGTACAGTGGGTAACTAATTGCAAAATGGTAAGAGAGCATAGTAAAATGGATAAAGTTTCTGAAGCAAATCTGAACTCTGTAACTTGATTGTAATAAAAAATTGCCTTTGGGAGGGACCTCAGGTTACAGCACTTCAAGCTTGTAACAGGTGTGAGGATTTGTTACTTGAGTGATAGATGAAAGCTTATTTGGACATGAGAGGCTGTTCACTGGTTGGACTGAACAAGCTCACATACAGTAGAAACAGCATTAGGTGGAAGAAGAAAGTATTCTATAGGCAGCATTACATTCTGCCACATAAAAAGTAGCTATTACACACTTGTATCAATGTCAAATGTCTAAGTCTTCTGACAGCTGAAGCACTACAGAATGCTTTTCCTGAAATTTTAGACAGTTGGAACAAAATTAGTTTCTGTTATAGCATATTTATTTCTAATGCTGATCATAGTGACTTTCTGCATCACTCACTTGAATTTGCAATGCAACAAAGAAAAACACTCAATGTACAAATAACTTAATTTGTATATTCTGAATTTCAGAAACTAAAATGAGAAACTCGAATACTGACGTGCATAAAAACCACAGATTATTCTATCAAATGCCTTTTTTTTTTCTTTAGTAACCTTTGAAATGGTGAGGTTAGGAAGTCAGATGCAGCTACAGTGCACATTTAGGGACATATCACTGCTTATTCTATCAAATGCCCTTTTTTTTCTTTCCCCAAAATCAGTCCTTGAGTTGAATTAGTAACCTTTGAAATGATGAGGTTAGGAAGTCAGATGCAGCTACAGTGCACATTTAGGGACATATCACTGCTTGCTTATCATGGGATGTGGTGCATATGCTCCACCTTTGCATTGCTCCCACAGTTTCCCCTCTATACCCTGACATCAACATTGCTTCTTATGGTTGTATCTCTGATTAGTACTTGCACATCATCTATACACCATTATTTAGTAGTTTGGTGTTTAATACTAAATCCTATTCAAGCTATCTCCCCATTTTCTTCTCTCTGTAGCAGCTTTAGAAATCACACACCCAGAGAAACAAACCTTTCTCTAACCTCTCTGTGGATGAGCAGGAGAGGCATTTTCCACCATGACGTCTGTAAGATGAACCCTGAGCTCGGTGCCATGACACCGTGTTTGGGTGAATTAAACCCCAGACCAGAAGTCAGAGCTGTTCTCCAGACAGCTTTGCAAAACCACTTCACCTGGTGCTCCAGTAAGTGATGAGCAGTACCACAGCACTTCTGTTGGAAGGCACTCCTGAGGTGATCTGAAGAGCAGACAGGACTGCCCCACAATCAATCAGCTACAACTACAGGGTCAGAGAAGGATCAAGTGAGTATCAGCATTTTAAAGCCTGGCCCCCACTGAGCAGTGCTTTCAAAGCCCTAAAAGCAGCCTTTACCTACGAACACAATAGACTGGAGAACTCACTGCTATTGTTATAATGTCCATTTGTTTCGATACCAAACATAGAGGTGTCATAAGAAAGTCTGTGAAAACTAGTTTGTTGGAGCAGATCCCTAAGTGGAGACTGTAGGAATCTAAGAATCACTGAGGCCAAAAGGGCAAGTCTGTGTATATGCCCAGACCTGCACTATTCTCTGAGGTGCAACAAGACACAGCATAAAAGAACTTCCTGACCCAAAATGGACACGAAATATCTCCCCAAGAAGAACAAACAGTTGTTCTGAGTTAACTTGAATAAACAGAAAGCAAGTGTAATGTTACTTCAGATAAGCTAAAGGGTAGTCTGCTTGCTTGGCTGTGAATTATTAGACACAAGCCATTTGAAAGTAAGAAATTTTACTGGAGACACAAGTTAGTGCATAATGTTGCAAAATTTTACATAAAAAAGGCACAAAGAACTTGATTATACAGACATGACAATTTTGTACCTGAAATTAACTTGAATTAAAAAACATTTTACTGAAGCATTGCCAAATATCAAGTGTTAAATCCATGAAAATAAAAGAAACCAAAACAAAAGGTAGAGTAAGTAGGGCCATTTTATGAAGACAGGAAATTCCAACATTTAATAATGACACCAGTAGTAAAGCATTGCTAAAACCATTGGCAATATTTGCTAGAAATGTGAATATGTAAATCACACTGGGCAAGACAAAAGCACATGTCCCCAAAACTGTCTTCCCTCAGACATTAGTTTTGGGGACAAATACATGCTCTGCAGTTTTGAAGATGGTATGAGTCTGCTTCAAACCGTGAAAGTTGAGTAAAAAGACTGAACTAGAGCACACAACAAACAGTTATTTACATTTTAATGACTCGGTACCTTTTGGGCACCTCAGTTTGAGACAAAAATTTAAATTTAAGAATTCATATGGCACATCAAAAACTACTATTTGTAGTCTCTTAATCAAGTTACAATGCAGATGTCCAAGGTTTTATAAAAAGCACCACATGCTTCAGAAATGAACCCAAGACAGTGCTCCAGTCAAGCCTAAAGAAGAAACTTCAAAAAATCCCAAAGACAGAGTACTCTGTATAAGCAGTTGGGCAAGAGACATTTCTAAATCTGAAGGGAAGTATTGTTTTACTTTGTGTGTCAACTATTTGCAAAAGATTACGATAAAGCAATGCATGTCTCCCACTTCAATATCCAAATTTCTTAGCAAGAGTTTTAGTAATGATTTTATCTGTGCAAGGTTTGTATAATTTTCTAACTTTCTTTTGTCAGCACTTAAGAATTGCAGATTAAAATAATCAGGAAATGAGTGATCTTGCCTCAAACAATACAATCCCATAAGAAATTACATTTTAGTAGCTAAAAGAATTCCCTTACCACTTGTAGAAGTTGGGTGATATAATAGTGCTGATTGTCTCTCAAGTCAGAGGATTTAATGTAGCTGCACACAGCATGAGTGCAAGGACTAAGGACCTTTTTTCTAGAACAGATTTGCTGTGAGCACACCCATTTCTTAACTCACAAGGAGAGGCGAGAATTAGTTTATTGAAAAAAAGAAAGAATGGAGAGAAATATGAAAGGAATGTTCAATGAAAAAAACCAGTCTGATTCAGTTTTTAAAACAAACTGGAGAGAATGTAGGAGTCTAAACACCCATCTCCTATCTCATGGTGAACAGAACACAGCTGCCACTGAAAAGTCAACTTAAAACAAATACACAAGATTAATCACTGACCCAACTAATTCATTATTCTGTTCCAGAGCCTCAGTTTTACGGATGTCTGCCAAAAACTGTCGTTGTGTTACCTGGTATATTAAGGTATTGCTTCATCTATGAATTTGTCACTTAGATTTTTAATTCTACTTTGATGAAGTGCTTTTAAATGAGAAATATTTAAGAAGAGTTTTATACAGAACAATTTCAAAATATATGTAATATAGGAATTAATATCACAGTACAGCATTTATAATAAAGCACTTTATTTTTAAGGGAAACTTATCAGTAAGAATATTTCAGTACTGAATTTAAAGGAGGCATACAGAAATGTGGTCTGTTATCAGACTTATCACAGACTGTATCTGGAAAACCTAGCAGACATCCTTGTCCACATTCACAAACACCAAATTTAGTAGTTTGGTGTGACACTACAAACAATAACATCCAGTTCAAGCTGAGATAACTTGCTGAAGACCAGACTTTTCCATCCTCTTGCTGAGGACTAGATTTTTATCATCACTTCTCACTCCTTTGCCTTCCTAGTATACACAAATATATTCCATATGTAATGATTCTCACATTTCAGGCACACAGGTGGACTGAGCAACTGTTTTTAGCTAAAGATTATATAACCAGTAATTTTAAAAGAAACTTTGACAGAGAAAGACTGAGCAACCCACAGCTTCTTCCAACTGTGTAACTTTTACAAACCTTTATTAATTCAACTTATTTCAATCCTTAACTATTTTAATATGTGAATCTTGTAATAAAAAATTCAACCACAACAAAAAAACCCCAACAAAACAACACTGGTTATCCCTTAACCAAACATAATCCAGATGTAGCCCGAGACACATCAAGTCTGTGGGACTAAGCCAAGTGACAAAACAATTTACACAGGTAGTTAGAGGTCAAGACTTCACAGTTATTAATCTCAGAATACAGTAGTAACATACACTAATCCATGTAATTCTAATAGGTACAAATTCTGGTGATTAACAATGCCATTTTGTGTGTATTCTGGGGAGAAAAACCAAACTCATCTAAACAAACTCTAACAAAACCCTCACAGAAGCTATGGGAAAGGATGCAGTTATTTGTGATGAGACACTGTCAGTGTCAGGCTACACAGCTGAATGAAGCCTACAAAGACAATGCTTCAAAAGCAGCAGTATGACCTTAAGGCAACCTAACTTCCATAGCAAATGTCCAAGTGAAAAGCTGAAATAAAAACACTTCTTGAATGTAAATGTCTTAAGATGGAGACATTAAATACTGTTTCTGTTAGAAGTTAAAATAAAGGAGAAAATCTGGGTATGCTGAGATTAATACTAGTGTGAAGACAAATACCAGCTGAAAGAATATATTCTAGTGCTTTTAAAATTTAGAAGTATGCTTTTAATACATATCCCATCTTCCAACCTCTTCTCATACCCTAGCTGTAAATTTGGTTAAGTTTAAATTGAGTAGCTGCCAAAATTGGTGATGAAAACACAAAAAAGAAATTTAAAGTGCACTACTCAGTCCTTTTTTAATTCTTACTGTACCAATCAAAACTGGTGGTCAAAACAGAGATCCTTTTAAAAAACCAATGAAATGTATCCAGCCACTTTAAAAAGTAACCTATATGATAAATGGAGTGTAAATATTTGAGGAGGTTTAGATAACCAATAACTGAAAGGGAGAAACAACTAGTTACAATTTTCAAGTTTTTCCTTTCGCACCATTCCAGGTCTTTGGAACATGTTTCAAAGTGTGCACACAGCAGGAATTGAAGGTCCCCTTCAAGGACCCACACGTGAAGGTAACTGAGGACACCGTGCAGGCTGGAGTCAGGCTAACAGGTTAACCTTTTCCTTCAAACCTATGGCTCAAATGAGCACTTTCATGTTACAAATCCAGAACCATAAAGCAGCTGAGTGCATGGGCAACAGCAGTAGAGGATGTTTTTAGTTTGCTAAATTGGAATGGTCATGGAGGTAATCCGGACTCCTGTGCTAACGAAGTTATCGCCTCACGCCCCTCAAGTATGACAAGTCATTTAAAGAATTCTCATTTGGACATTTTATACAGTGGAAAAGAGAAAAGAGCTTTGCTCTGGCCTTGTCATTCAACTCAACTGTGTGGGCAGAGGTGGCAGGAAAAGATATAATGCAGTACAACTTATGTAAATTGTAACCTGTTTTAAAACCTTTTTTTCACACTTTGTCAGCCAGGCTTCAAACAGGGAGGTATTAATACTTCCCAGAGTAGATGGAGACATACTGTTTGTGCAATTTTAAATTCTAAACCTAGATTAGCACTTATGTCTGACTATGTCCAAAGTACTGCATTAGGGAGTATGGTATTAGGGTCCTCATTACATGAAAAAAACCCACAATAAACCATAGCACTGCTATCATCTAAGCTCTTCCCTACTTTGTAAGAAAAGTCCAATTTGAAATTTCTCACAGACTTTTTTCCTGCAGCTTCCTCCCATCAGACACTGATGGTACTGATTTTCCTTTTCCTCTACTGTATTCCATTCCTGTTAGTTGACTGTCATTATCCACTGATAAAACAATTATATGGCAGGATCTGTGAAAATAAAATCGTTCCATAAGTGCACAATATACTTTCATCTATCAATTACTGGAGACCGGTTCTATGAGTTTCAGGTCAATGCAACCAATAATATACTGAATTTATGACTAGTAATGTACTTAAAAGTACCTTTTGTCATTCAGCTGTGACAGTATTTCATATTTGAAGGAATACTAGTGGCTTTACTTACCCTGGACTTGAGGGAACCTTCCCAATTTTCATCCACATACTTCTAGGACAGCTCCTGGATAAAGCTGTAATAATAAACAGAAGCTCTTAATGACAAAAGTAATCAAAATTATTAGTTTATTTATAGTGTGTTATCTGTTGAACTATTTTTCTCTGAGGAGACAGTATGTTACTCTGTTGATGCTAATTACAAGTAAGGTCCTAGACAGAATCCCAGTTCCAGACCTGTCTCTGATTATGCAACAACTGACCATTCACTCATGATACATGATAATTTTCATTCATTATACTGAAAATGTAAAAACATAAAAAACAATCATTTGAGATATACTGTTGGTGTAAGCAAAGTTTCATTAAAAAATGCAACTAGACATGTTACAACAGGAATTATGGGTTAGTAATAGGAAAACTATTCCTTCCTTCCCAAAGATACTAACAAAATCTCATTAAATGAAATTTTAGTTTCCACTTTAAACCTAACTTGGACAGTCAAATACTTGTAATAAAGATAAGGCACTAATTTTAAATTTCCCATTTGGGCTACTGGTTGATTTTAGTTCATTGTGTTTACAGAAAGAGGACAGATCACATTAACAGGCCTTAGGTGAAGTAATATGTACAGGCTGAGCTAACTTTGATACTTGCACTTAGATGTCAATCACTTCTGTCAGCTATGCAAGATATTCAGATTCAGTCTCCTTAAAATATAAGTCAAATTTTATATAGTATCTATAAAAACTGTTCACCTAATTATCTTGTATACTGTTGTATTTTTCGACTATCTTGTGATTCTTTTTGCAACATGTAAATGATTCTATAGTTCAGTGAATCTTAAATAAATTGACAACATATTTTCCAGCTACTAAAATAGAACTTCATACTCCAAAGTAAGGCATTTTAATATTACACATAGTATATATACTATAGATACATAATACTGTATACCAAATCACATTCTTCTAAGCCTTAAACCCCACTGTTATAGATTAGCAGACAGAATGAGTTTAACAATTTTGAATTTAATTCATTACCTTTCAAAGACAATTAAAACCTCTGCTTGCATGTTCTTTTAGACAGAGTTTTCATAACAAATGTGCAAGTCTGAATGAAAATATAACCTTACTGAAATTACATAAATTCATGTTTCACTCAAAATATGAACTGTGAACACAAGTAATTAAAACTAACCTTCGTGAACCCGTCTGAAAAAGCAAACCACACATGATACAACAGAAATCTCCAAGACAATTTTATTAACATTCCGTCACCTATTGCATGGAGGCATTATAGACAGCCAAAAATACATGTTCATTTCTGAGTAGTCAAATTCTGATTCAGGGCCAACTCAGCATTTGCTTAAATACTATGAATTAGAACATAACAAATACTCTAATCATTTTCAGGGAAATTACAACTTCTCTCTTGGCATGAACTAATCAATAATCATTACTTCCATGGGAACCTGAAAAGAGAATGCTACACTGCATTATCTGTTCAGAACAGCATCTCAGAAATTTGCCTAGCTACAGATACATTTTCAACTAAACATTGTATTTAAGATAAAAACCTAAGATTTGACTGTTAAAACCCAGAAATATTATGAAACAATACTCAAGAGATCATAAATAGTAGACTTTTTAAAAGCTTTTTCACTACCAAACCAAGGTTTTAATTAAAAAAGGCAGTGATAAGACTAGCTTGCATGATTAAAATTTCTCTGGAATTAAAACATTAAGTAATTATGAAGATGGAGGAAACATGGCACAGGGTTCATAAACTTCACTTACCTTGTCTCTTTTATAAAAAAAATTCAACAGATCTATCAGCAATCCTAGATTTAGATATTCCTTTGCATATTCATTAATCCACTGAACATTTGTTCTAATTTCTCTGATACTAATAGCTATCTGCATTTTCCTATCAAGTCAGTATAAAGAAGTAGACAAAGGAATAAATAGCTTTCTTCTAGTTAATTAACTATTTTATGTAAGTCTATCACAAGCTAAGTACACTCAAATTTAGGACAACAGTAAAATAAACATTTTTGAATTCTTATTACTGCAAATTATTCTTGGTCTTTTTCCTTCCAAACACAAATTTTTATGGAACAAAATCACTGTAGAAATCTAAAACATGTAAGACAATTTGTAATACCTCACTATTCCCAGCTTGTAACTCCTGACCAATATCTTATAGAAATTTAACACAGAAGACAGCTCCATAATTGATGTCTAAATTGAGCTTGTAATTCTGCCATAATTGAAACCCAAATGTTCTCAGACAAAAAGGTTTAGATTCATGCTGGGAATAACAGCTGCTTTCTCGATGGCTAGACCAGAAAAAAAGAAGAATCAACTGGCTTCATTTATAACTCTAAACAAAGGTGTCTTTTGCAAAAAACCCAGGTTTATTTGCATCACTTAGCCCACCACAAAAACCTAGTTGTTAATATCTACCATCTCATTGTGTCCAGAGCAGATGTTCTCCAAATTTCCTTGTGAAGGCAGTCACTGTGTTCAAGTATTAGTAAGAATGACATGTATCACATGGAGGCACACAAACATCTCGAGTCAGTTCATTACACAATGCTTAACTCATGAGTTAGTTCATTTTAAAGTAATGCTTCACTTGTTTTAGTGCTCATGAAAGTGAGTTTAGTACTAGAAGCAGTGAAATAAAGACATTCTAAACTATTACTGGTGTCCATGTTAACATCCAAAACAAGTGCTGATTCATGTCTGCATCTATAAAAAGAACTTAGCTTTTTTTATAACATTCTAACAGCGTATTTTCTAAAGCTACTGTGACAATATCTGAACTTCTCTCTCATCTTTTCCAAAGCATCAACTTGAGTTCAGTTTATTTCAAAGGCTTTTGGAAAGCATCTGAAAGTCTTGTAACAGTCCATACTGTTGCAATCAGGACGACTCTTCACAAATGAAAAGAGCCAAATCACATTATTGGTCACGTCTGCTTTCATTATGAAGGAGAGTGCTAATTATATCAGAATAACACCTTTTTGCTTAAGGATTGTGTTAGTTAAAAATATGCATTGTAAAACGAAGGAACTTTAACTTATATGAAAGAAAACATTTCACCTGCTATTAGGAAGTGAATTGAAGCAATTTCTGCAAGACACAATTCCAGCAGTGCTTCATTTATACATTGATATGGTATTGTTATCACAGTTACTCATGGTGAAGACTCCAGAAGAAAAGTGACATTCCTGCTACATAACCATTAATGTTTACAACCAAATAGGAATTCAGACCAAACTGAACTGCAAAAAGTGGTATTGAACAGAGATTACTCCTTGATTGTAATAAAATTCTGTTAGATCAAAGGTGACAAAAAAGTTAAATAAAATACAACAAGTTATACCTAATTTTACCTCTATGACATGTATCTTTTGCCCACTGCTTTTTTCTAATTATTAATTCCAGGTGACCCTGCCTGACACAGGTTACAAAGTGTCATTCAGGCTGGATCTGTACAGCTGTCTGTAATTGTAATCAGCTGACAGCATATCTTAAAACATGGAATTAAATAGGCTGTTAAGGCAGAGCCACAAAAGGGGCAATAGCTACTTCATGGTACCCAGATTCTCTCCAATATGTGCATGCTGTCCTCTCCTAATATCAAACAGTTTCAAAAATATAGTTAGGTTCAGAGAATAAGCAGAAAAGCAAACTTACAACTACAGCTAAACCTCTAGAATTTTCACTTGCCTCAGGTACAAGATTATCTTCCACTAAATATTTAGCAACAACTCTTTTTCCAATGTAAGCACTGTTTTTATGAAATTTTACTGCAATTCTGATTTCATATCATGATATAAGCAGATCTGCAGAAGACAGCTCCTCATCTCCTATTGATTTCAAAAACCTTCAGGAAAAATATGGATGTTATTATTCTTAATGGCCAAAGTTCCTTAGTATATGCAAAATGGTACTGTTGAAAAATAGGGTAAATTATCTCTTATGAAAGCATACAACTTAATTTTTACTATGTTCCATCCACACACACAGAAAGAAAAACAGGTTAATTAATATTTGTTCTGAGAAATTTACAACAAAAAGAGATTTTGTTGAAAGTTTCTTTTGCTTTTTTCCTAAACTCTTCTAACTAGCAGTTCATTTGTGACTTCCACTAGAAAACTTCTAGTTTAGTCTTCTAAACTAGAAACCTTCCAAAGAATTCACACTGTGATACAAACTATAAAATACTTTCTATGGGAGAGAAGGCACTTATATGGACAGCTCGAGGTTTTCAAAATCGCTCTTGTCTTTGCTTTTCCTGGAGGCAGAACATGAGTAAGAATCTGTGGGTTAACAGGGAGCAGTCAGAAAGCCTCACTTACAGGAACATCATGAATTACTGCTCTACAATACAGCAAGCCAAGAAAGTCATTGCTACACACACACATCATTCTGAACAGATGTCATCAGTAAATTTAGCAACAAAGCAACTTCTACCACTGACAGCTCATTATCCTGTGAAGGGAGATGCCTAACTCTAAACAAGAGTGTGGAAACAGAGTCTAACAGTCAAAAACCAGTTATGTGAATCACTGCTACTCCCGTGATTAGTGATATGTATTACAGGCAAACTGCTCTGAACAAAGCTGAGCAGAATCTAAGCTCTCATTTATTTGTGGGGAAGGAAATTCTGACTGATTGTAAGGGTGAAAAAAAAAAAATCACAATGATGGTGTTTAAGCACCGAGGAATTTACCAAGGAAGATTGTCTAATCTGCATTCTTGGAGATCCTCAGAACTTTGAGGTCACTTTGAGTAGGAGATTCAAAGGAGACTTTTTATTCTGTACATACAAAA